AAGTTGGAGCAAAACCCTGTCTGGACACTTGGTTTCTATGGAGACGAAGCCAATGTTGGGTTCAAGAATGCTCCCCAATCGAAGGTGTACGGCATGTTCATGAGTCTGCCGTTATTTCGACCGAAGGCAGCCCGACTTGCACGGTATCTCATTTGTGCCATTGAAAGCGACAAAGTCGTAAGTGTGGAAGAAACATTTTTCCCCATACTTGATGTGGTAGTTCAGAGCTTCAATATGACGGCCGAGATCGGGGTGCTGGGACGACGGTTTCTAGTTTCAGAAATTCGTGGAGATCAAGTATGGATCAGGTACCTATTTAGACACAATGCTTTCTGGCGCTCCACACATGTATGCTTTCGCTGCAAAGCCTGTGCAGACTCTTCACCATTGAGTTACATGCTGTACCAGTCTAATGATGGCTGGGGAGAAACAAGACGATCCACTGCTGAGTTCATCACTGAAGAGCTACAGTACCCGTTGTGTGCCTCGGCATGGTCCTAACCTTTCCTAGCTCCGTCGAACAAGAAGACCTTTTTGGGGAGTAAGGACCCTAGCTATCCCAAAGTTGCACAGGCCCGCGGTCCGCTCCTCCACGCGTGCACGAGCGCGAGGCTCATCATATCCTCGCCCCTTTCGAGCAAACGCGATTGGGGGCACGTCAAGCGCGCCCGCGCCCCCTTGTTGGCCCCTGGACAATATTAAAACGGGGGTTTGTTGCCCTGCCCAGATCGCTGCGTGTTGAAGCAACCCCTACGGAGAAACCCACATCCTAGGATCCTTGTTTTGCATTCGAAGGGCTTAACCTTCCTAGGAGCCCTTCTTATCATTTTCAGAAACTCTACCATGAGGGTTGTGCTTTTTAGGGGGCTAGATAGTTTGACACGTCCCACCCAACGCGCGCGCGTGGAGCTTTCGCAAGCGAGTGTGTTTCCACAGGTCCCAAATTATTTTGGTTGACACTTACCAAAGAACTCTGGGGTCCTTTTTGGGAAACGGATTAACATTGCAAACCCAGATCCGGCCCCCATGTCATCGAAGGTTCCCGGTCATCGCTCGATGTTCATGGGTGCAAAACATATTGGAATTTGGAGAGGCCTAGTATCGATATGTCGGTGGTCCGTTTTTGTGGAGGTATCCCGGGAAAACAGCAAACAAACGCGGGTTTTGACAGGTCAAGAGCTGGTCGCTTTGCTTTGTTTGAGTTTGGAGCCTCAGGGCAGTGATCCGCATCCGAAAGGTGGAGAAAACACTCGCTCGAAAGTCTGGGAAGCCATGGTGGCCGGTCTTGTTTGGGACTCACATCAAGCAATATTGATCGATGGAGGAACAACGCGTTCAAAACTTTGAGGAACCCTTCTTTCCATCTTGGCTGGGGTTAAGTGGTGCCTCAGTCTTGTTTGATCATTGTTGAGGGGATGGAGAAACGAGACAATTCGACTCCGGCCCGGTTTGTTGCTTGGTCATCATGATGGGATGGAACAAAAACAAGTCTGTCCGAAGCTTTTGGGAACCCCTCTTTCCATTTGTGCCCGGTCAAGATGTGGTCCCTTAGCTTTTAAATTTTTTGGGGGCGCTGATCAATCTTCAAATCTTTCTGACGGGGTGGAAAAGCGGAAGCCCTTCATCTTGGCCCAGTTTGGTCGTTGTTGGTGGGCCGAAAAAACGAGCTCGAAACTTTAAGGAACCCTTCTTTCCATCCTTGCCGGGTCAAGAGGTGGTCCTTAGTCTTTCTGGGGAGGGGCGTTGATCGGTTGATCAATCTCTTGGGATGGAAAAATACTCGTTCAAAGGTCTGGCCTCCTTTCCACCACCAGGTCAAAATGTGGTCTGCCAAGGTTTGTTTGGGAGTCGTTTGTGGGTCTCTTGACCTGATGGGCTGTGACTTCTGCAACAAACAAGATCCAGCATGCCGAGCTGACCTCATCATATACCACAGTCACACTGTGCACCCGTACGTGCCCTTTTGCCGCACCCTCGATTGATCGAATATACTTGGCGAAGCTGGTGCACTAGACAAATCATGCAACGCCACGTTTCCACAAACTTACCTGGCGCGCACGCACCCTTGCTGCAACCCGAGCGAACTGAGACGCACACGCCACATGAACTTTCACGATTGCGTTGTGTAATGCCCTGACGCCGCAGATCACGCTCTGTCGCGCGTTGTCACGCTCCGTCGCGCGCCGTCCGCTCTGACAGGCGTGTCGCACTTCCGCGCTGCTGCACGCAAGCTGTGCACACCGTCGTCGCTCGTTCAGCAGCGCTGTATGCGGCCCGCGCCGCGCAGCGCAAGAGCGAGCTGCGCGTTTCTAAGCCTTTGAGGAACCCTTCTTTCCATCTTGGCCACGTCGATCAAGAGGTGGTCCCTTATTTCATGTTGGTCACCCTTGGGGCAACAATGGCAAATCATGGGGCCGCCTCATGAATGTTTTGATCATTTTGGATCTCTGCCAAATCTTTTTGCATCCAGCGCTGCAGGCCCGCTGGTGGACTTGCATTTCTTCCACATCAGCCTGATTAAACATTGCACCTTGCACATCCTGAATCTTCGGATGTTGGGTGTTTGCAACGGATCAACCTTGTGCCTTGCCGGTAGTGTGTGGCCTTGCCACTCTTGGTGCACCAGTCTTGGTACACATTAGACCCGTTCATGGGATCGGTGTGCGTGTGACCATTTTTTGCATGTGGGCATCCAAGGGCAATACTCCTGCACATGCACGTGTTCGGACCCATCGACAGCGCGGGCGCGGGTGGATACAAGGATGCCTTGAACGCAGCGTTCGACGACTTTACCCACTGGCGAAGGGAGCACAAAATCACATGTTCACACAAGAGGTTTTCTTTCAATGGCTTGTTCAACGAGGAATACGGAGCCTTCCTCAATGCGAAAGGCTACAATGCTCGTGTTCTCAGCGAATGGCTGCTAGATTGCGTGCGTCAAACCAACTTTGGCCAGCAGGCTGCGCCGCCCCGGACACTTGGGGTTCACCCTGGCCCAATTTTGCCCGATGAGCGCATGGAGCTCTGCGAAGTTGCTTTGTGTCGTGGCTAAACAACCAACCCAGAATCGGACGTTTTCCATTGACCCCGGGGTGCCAAAAACACCTGCCCTTTGGCCCAGGACGGGCATTTGCAGATATTTCGGACTGACCGAGCGCGCCTCCAGAGCTCTGCCGCTTGGCAGTGCCCATTGCTCTCTGTGCGCATGCGGTTTGGCCAATCGAGTCGGCATGAAGGTTAATTAATTAAGGTGTTTCAGGATTCGTTGCAACTCAGGAGTGCTGAACAAGCGCAACAAATTGAGAAGGCTGGCAGGACATTCTTGGAGGCCTCGCGGCAATTGAACATAGAGAGTGTGAGGCCGGGCCGAACCCACTGGCTGACCCGCAAAAAACAAACACTTACAAGGAGGGCTTGTTTCATCTCGAATGGTTTGTGGTATATCTGACCCTCATAGGCGGAAAGAGCTTGCCTGGGTGATTACGCCCAAATGGCACGTTCCTTGGTTGACATAAATTGCATATTGGATTTGGTTTCTGGGGGCTTGCGAATTCTTGTGATCCTAGGCTTTCTCTCATGTACTGCAAGACGTGGTACTTCAAACCCGCAGCGTGTCTGCAAATTTAAACTGAGCACGTAGGGAACGTGTGGCATGTGGCTTGCTCATTGAATTTGTTGAACCAGGGGCCCTTGCATATAATTTCCCCAGGTGAAAATCCTCGATACATCCATACCTTCTGCGATGAAGATCAAATGGGAGCTTTGAAAGGCGGCGGGTACTTGGCGAGGGTTTGACGCTAGAAATGGGCCTTTCGCTACAGCTCGCGCATGCAGGTTGGACGAAACGGGCCGGGAGATCACGGATACTTCAGGGCAGAGAGAAGGGGATCATGCTACTTGCAAGGGCTCGCCTGAAGTCGCTTCGATGGCGCTTGAAAGAGTTGATGCGGCAGAACAAGACCCGGTGGAAAAAATAGACCGTGGGGGGGCTCTGCCAGGGTTGAACGGTGATTTAGGCACATGTTCTAGATTCATGTTTTTGCAACCAGGGGTAAACATTGCATTTCCGGAAATGCGCTGTTTTACTAGGGTAAACACAAACATGCGGAGTTAAACTTCGACGCGGGAAGGCTAGGGAAAAGGAGAACCGTACTATTTTGGGGGGGCCCAACAAAAAGACACACCTGATAGTTGATTTTTTGCGAGGCAGTGCGGCTTGCACATGGCTGCGGGGGCACCGTGTGCAACTGCACGGGGCACTTGTACGCCAGCCAGGCATTAGCTTCATTCCCAAAGATAGTGCCACCCACGAGAAACTTGTCAGAAGACAGGCGTCCGCTTCTAGAAAGGCATCTTTGGGTCCTATGCATAACGAGTCCATCTGAAGCGTCGCGATGTGTTTTTGGTTTACCATTCATTAAGCCAGGCTTTCAAGCTGCCCGGGTCCTAGTTAGCTTCAGTGGGCAATCCAAACACACACACACACAAATAAAGTCTTGAAACATAAGCTGTTCTACTGGCACCAACCCGGTTTGTGCGAGCAGCCCCCTTAAACTCACTTGCAGCAGGCCAGTGAAAGCACTGAAACTGCAAAAAGTGTCAGTCTGAAACTTGCTGCACTTCAAGTCAAAACGATGCCCCCAGTGTTGGTGGTGAACCTGTGGCATCTCGTCCGAGAGCACAGCTCGCTTCCTGCATGATGTCCTGTGAGTGGAAACCATATTGACATAATGTCTATGGTGTTTCTGGGCCCGTTCGCTTAACCATATCCTGGCTTGGTAAAAGTTGAGTGATCAGGATATTGACTGCTCCGGGCACAAAAGCCACCAAGAAGTCGGACAAATTTGCTGAAAACCCAGGAGCCAGTGACAGGTGGGAAACCCTGAGAAAAATGCGAATGGATTGCAATTTGGCAATGTTGCCGTGCTACGTCACATCCCATAATGGAGACACGGATGCAACGCGAGAATGGAGCAGCCGTGAATCCACTTTGCCAGGGCCTTAACTCCTTGGATGCCGGCGCCGATCTTCTTCTGTGCTTCTGGGTGGTACTCCAGGAGTTCCTGTGGAGCGGTGAGGGGCAGCTTGGTTTCACCTGACTCAGCATGCGCCAGCCCGAAAACATCAACCTCGTTGCATGATGGATGATGGCAGTGCAGCAAAGAAACAGCGGGAACACCCTCCAAACGGGGATGCAAGCAAGAAGGCAAAGATTCCTTTGAGAAAGATCGCATTGCCTCAACACGTGAGGGTACAAGCTTAAGCCAAGAAACACGTGGTGGCCTACAAAAAAAATGGCAAGAACCAAGTAAAAAACAAAACACTCACTTGCAGACTTCTCTGGATCTCAGCGTCCGAGTCGTGTTCGCATGCGACGCAGCACCGCCACCAAAAAAAAAACAGATACGGCCTTGACAAGTGCCAGCTGCTGTCCAGCCAGCTCCTGCGTTCCAACTCAAAGTGCGTGCCATTTCAGCGGGCCAACGCATACGCTACGGTCCGTCCTCACCGAGCTGCGCCTGCCCCGAAACGCATAAGCGGAAGTGGCTTCAAGCCAGCGGCCTCGTGCAGGATCTCGCGCCAGCCCTTCAAGAGCTGATCTTTTCGACGCTCACCATGGCCTCCGTCGCCGTAAAAGGTATCCACATCAAATAGGCGCAAATAACATGCAAGTGGCGCCTTTTTGTTGGGCCCCCCCAATTTTTTTAAAAAATACAACACAAATGGCGGTTGTCCTTCTGGTTTCCCTGTAAAACCACAAAAACAAAGTGCTCTCACAAAAAGACAGAGCCAACTAATCGCTGTGAATCACTTCCATGAAACGACACGTCCTTTCTACTGATGACCAACCGCCTGCCCTGACCACATGCTGAGATGCCAGCCGCCAGCCACTCCCTGCCTGGCACGACCCAAACAACCATTGGTCAAAGCTTGGCCATGGCTATGCGACACACACACTCACACAGTATGAACTGCCGGCAGTTTGCTACTTTAAATTTCGCCAGATTTGTTGTCGCTCAGTTCTTACTTCCTTAGCCAGATGGGTTAAGTCAGTTTCATAGGTGGCACCTGTAGTTCCATGGGTTCCACTGGCGGCCTCGTGTCTGCACCATTCTCCGGCTTTTGGTCGGGCGCGGCTGAAGCGTCGGGCTGCTGCCACTGCGTTTGCCCACTGGGGCGGTGCCAGTAGTAGTGCATTCCATGCGCCTGGCGCCGCACAGGGACCCGTCATTGGCTTGGTGATTTGGAGGTGTCCCATCCCTAAAGGTTGGGGGAAGGTGAAACCTCCGACCCACAACCAGGGGTTCAAACGCAACCCATCCAAACCACCAAGTGGTTGCTGGAATGGTGAACAGCTTTGCCAGTCCCCTCGCGCGTCGATGCGCCAAAACAAACCCAACACACGAACAAAAACATGCGGCTGAAACTGCGGCCCTTACTAAAACCATTCTTTATCCAAACGCTGCGTGGCACTAGTGATTAGCTGTTCTCACCACATCAACCCGATATCCAAGCGCAAGCTAAGTTGCTTCTCTTTGATTCTAATCACTTATCACCATGCTAATTAGACAGGTGGGCCTTCCCGAGAACAAGCTCACTCAGGGGCTCCCTGCCGTGGAGGTGTTGAATCCAGCTGCCCACGGCCCTGCCTCGCTGTAAATCGCTTCCCAGCCCGATGGCAGGTTCGGACTTGCCTGCGCCCGGCCAAGATGTCGATGCGTCCATAAAGGAGGAAACCACTGGGTGGCAACCGCCCTTTGATTTCCTTTCAGCACCTCCCCCCCCCCACAGAGAGGACCTCAACAAAGACATGCCCGCAACATAGGATGCGTCAAGCATCTTTCCTTCACCTTTCCAAGCGCAAAGTAGCTATGCTAAGCGGGCTTGCTTAGCCATGTTCATCTGACGAGGCAGGAGAGGCCTCCTGAGTAACACTAACCTCCACTACTTATAACCTCTGCTTTTTTCCCCGGAACAAACATCACCCCCAATTTGCGAGCCTCTGTTTTTTTTCCCCTCCGTTAAAAACATCAAACCCCAAAAACGAGTACGCCTCGGCGGGTCTGCCTAAGAAATCCGCCCGTCTGCCCGACTGGGGCGTCAGAGGTCTCATCTCGCCCGCCTCTTCGGGCATCTGCCACTGCGATCTGCCAGTTGCAGCATGCCTCCGGTGCCAAATGATCAAGGTGTGGCCATCCGGTCGCCAAACGGATTCCCCTCCCCCCCCTCCCCCAAACCCAAAAAGAACAACGGGTTGGACATCCCAAGAGAAACAACAGGGCTTCCTTGCGAAAAGGAAACCATAGCAGAACCCTACACAAAAAACAAAGCATTTCACATGGCGAGCGGCCAGTAGAAACTCCTCCCGTACCTGTGGCAACAGGCGAGAAACAATGCCGTGGCCGCCCGGTACTTCTGTAACATCTGCATCGCCCAAACAAACTTCCAGTGACCCATTCAACAACATCAATCCCACATTTGGGGGCACTTCTCGCTGTGGCAAGCCTGCGGTCCGAACGAGCAAGGCGAGCCGCTGGCCCTATGATCAACTGCTGGCGCCTGCCACCCCAATGGCACTTTGGCGCTAGCGCGCGTCCAAGCTGGATGCGAAAACCTGTGCCGAAACCGTCAAGGGCCGCCGAATGTCAAACTTGCTGGTGCTCAGCAGGGAATGATGGAATGACCCCCAGAAATCCCCTTAAGAGAAACCACAAGGGATGGCTTGTAGAGGTCATTCCCTCATTCCCTGCCTATCGCACCAGCAAGAAAAGGGGTGCTCACCGGCCTGCCGCCCACCACTCTCAAAGCACCTTGCTTGACTAAGCCCCGCTGAGCGTGAAGAATTGGACCGACATGAAGAAGCAGTACCCTTCCACCAAGCATGGGCGTGCGTAAACTCTCATTTTGAAAAGAAGTGCTGCGCGATGCTGCGCGCGCGCGCGGGGGGGGGGGGGTAAAGCCACTGTCTGCCTCAAAATACTCTGCAGCAGGACGCGGGCAATGGTTGTCCTCAGAACTGCGCCGGTGGGAACCCAGGCACGCCCAGTGCAAAGGAACATGGCGGCAAGCTACGGTTTCTGTGCCCTGGCGAAGTTTCTGGTACATGAGCTGCCGCAGTTGCTGGGCTGAACCCAGGCTTGGCTTGCAAAGCGGTGGACCTCTTGAGAAGGTCAACGGCATTGCTCCCAATCTTGGCTGGCTTGCTTGGCTTCACATGCCAGGGAATCACCAGTTTGTGTCATGCAGATACCGTGCAATGAAATCAGCTGGCTCGAGCCTTGAAGCGAACCTCAACTCCCACATGGGATGGAATCACAAAACAAGCTGCAACAGCAACAGCATTCGCCAAACCACGACCCGCTCAGAGAGGGAAAGGCAAGCAGAGCGGGGAAGACATGGGTTGAGCTCAGCCGAGGCCCGCGAGGCATACGTGCAGTTGGTGGTCCGGCTTCGTAATCGTCCCCCTTCTCTAGATTTTCAAGATCATGCCGCCAACGCTGACGACATGGTCAGAGATGGGCTTTTCATCCATAGGAACGAATGATGAAGGAACTTCACTTGAAGACGACCTTTTCAACTTTACCGTTCCCCGTTTCCTTCCGTGTCATGACCCAGAAGGTTAACCTTTGATTTCTGGGTCCTTTCAACTGGGCCCTACATTTGGTCTTTGGTAATGGCAGCTGTTTGTCGACTTGCTCCTCGCGCAAGCAAACTTTTCCTTCGATAGCTCCAGTTCCCATTGGGCCTGAAGCTGACAGCCGGGTTTTTTATGTGGCAGGCGTCAAAGAAAGCAAGTTCATGAATGCGAGCTTGGGTGTAAAAGCTAGGCCGCGATAGGCGCTGATTGGAATGACGTGCACGTTGCGGCCGGTGCAGGCGCTGGGCTAGAAACCTTGAAGTTTCTTTGCGCCTATGTCCTGGGCAATGTCGGTTGCGGGGCCGTCCCGCAACGCGGCCGTGGAAAGAAGTGGTGTGAAACGCACCACTATATATATATATATGTATGTATATATATATATATATATATGTGTGTGTGTCTGTATATCTTGCAACAACATCATACGATATCAGAATGATGCAAGCAAGTGAGTCAGCGCTATTGTACTGCAACTGTACCGCGCGATTTTGAGAGTTGATTCGTGTTTCACTTGTCCCTTGCCCAAATAATCAAGCAATAAAGAGAGAACAAGAGAGAAAGGAGAAAGAAACAAAGAAAGCCAACAAGAAAGAAAGAAATACATAAACAACAAAAGCTAGAGAGAAAAGAGAGACAAGAGAGAAGAGAGAAAGAGAGAGAGAGAGAGAAAGAACGAGAGACAAGAGACAGCGAGAGAGAGAGAGAGAGAGAGAAAGAAAGAAAGAAAGAAAGAAAGAAAGAAAGGTTGAAAGAAAGAAAGAAAGAAAGGTTGAAAGAAAGAAAGAAAGAAAGGTTGAAAGAAAGAAAGAAAGAAAGGTTGAAAGAAAGAAAGAAAGAAAGAAAGAAAGAAAGAAAGAAAAGGAGACAGAGAAAGAGAAAAGGAGACAGAGAGAGAGAGAGAGGGAGAGAGAGAGAGAGATAGAAAGAGAGATAGAAGGAGACAGAGAAAGAGACAGATAATTGAAAGAGAGAGAGAGCGATAGAAAGAGAGACAGAGAAATGTAAGATATGCATCCATGCGAAAGACAACACAAACCTGCCGGAGCATTTTTCCCACGAGCCAGCTCAAGGCGCTTTTGAGCCTCCTGGCAAAATCTCTCCATTGGAGCGTCAGCCATTGCCTGACCCTCCGCCGCCCCAAAGAAGTTCTCCAGGTCGCGCTGCGCGGAGGTTCTCTGGCCTGGAGAAGAGGAGCGCCCAATCCGAGCCTCGCCTACTGTTAACCCCGGATTTATAAATCCGTCCCATTAGGGGTGTGAATCCCCACTAAAAACGAACACCCCCCTTTATTCATCCGGGGTTAACATTTTGTCTCTCTCACGATGGCCTTGACGAGGGCGTGTTCGTCTCCGGCTGCTCCCGGCGCATCCGCCGCACCTCGTCGCGCAGCAGGTCGACCTCAAACCACGTCGCTGCGTGACGCAAAAAACATGCGCGACCGGCATGCAAGCGGGCCACTGTCATGCGCTCGTGGTCCAGGGTTTCAGTTTGCCGCTCTAGGAGAACCTGAGCAAGGCCAAACACTGCACTGAAATACTCAGATCAAAAACGGCTCGGTCGTTGCATGCCGCAGCCTTCTGCGAGTGCAAGCTTTCGCCCAATTGCTGCCCACTCTGACCTGCATCTCAGTCATCTCACTCCACCTGCTGAACTTGATCCAGCCTAGACTTCGCAGCTCTGCATGCAAGCCCGCACGCTCCGCCTTGAACTCCTAAACGGGGTGCAAGTGGCCGCATGTGCCTCACATTTCATGGCTTGCATCTTGCATTTCGCGTTCCCAGGTCCTCGCATGCCGTCTGCAAGCGCCTCTGCGTCTGGCGCAGGCGCTTGCGGCCCTCCTGCAGTTCGCGGCTGCGGAAGTCCAGGCCCTGCTTCAGCAGCTGCAACTCGGCCACCGCATCTGCCTCGACTAAAGCGATCCCAAAACTGACTCAAACAAGATGTCCGCTAGTTTGTGTTGGAAAAAAGCATTGGGGACCTATCAACGCACTGCCGCTCGCGTCATGAGTTTCGCAGTTCGTCTGGTTACTGCTGTTTTCCACGCATCCCCCACACCAAAATAGCGTGCTTGCAAGTTTGTTGTGTGTGTGTGTTTGCGCGTGTCCAAGCCACACGTGTGCTTTGCGAAACTTTTTGAATGTCTAACAACAACTTGGTCTGCAGCCAAGGATCGTTTTTTACCTATATGATGTGACGTTGCAACGGGACACACTAAACAAGGGCATACGGCATGTCCACAACAGGTGCTTCACTGTGTCTGATCCCGAAGCCCGCGCCTCGGGCTGGAAGGCGTCCGCGTCAAGGCCCACAAAGGCCATGGTGAGTGTGAGTCCATGGGATCTCTTTTACTCAGCTGAATGAAGGGATCCCTAAAGCTGAGTTAAGGGATCCCCTGGATTCCCTAAATGTCTCTAAACTATACTTCAAAAAACTGAACTAAGGGAACTTGAAGAGGACCTCATGGTGAGCTCGCTATACCCGTTGAGTTCGCTTAATGCAATCTAGGATGAGCGTTGAAACAAAAGCACTAACAGCAAGCTGAGTTGTCGAATGTACACTACTTTGACCACTGCAACTGTGTTACAGTACCCGCATCGCAAGCGTGAGCCTGCCTTGACAACAAGGAGAACAGGAAGTTGGAAACAGAAACCAGCTGAGGGACACAAAAACACAGGCGTAGACCCCGCCACGCCGCGCCAGCAAAAAGTTGTTTGTTGATAAGGTCAGACGAGTGAAATGGGGGCGACCCTTCTTTCCGCTTAGATAAATCTCTAATTCGCAGGCGAGCAAGGCGCATCGCGAACTTGTCTACCGACCAAATACCGAGCCCTGCGTACGCAGCATCGCAAAACATACATTGTTTCAATAGTGCCATGTTAGAACTGACAATTCGTTCGCTCAATGATTTTACGAAATTCGTTGCGAATACGTCTCGAACTGCCGGAACATGGCAGAAGCGCTGTTGTTACTGTTTCTTGGGGAGCAATGGTTGCAGCAGCTGATGCGTTCCGAACATCCAGCAACCAACTTTTAAGTGCAGCCAGGAAGGCCCCTGCGCCCGCTGACCGCAAGGACCAACAATAGCGCAATGCCAATCTGCGCCGCCGCCATTCCCTGTCAAACAGTCGGACGCGGAGACCAGAGCGGACACCGCCCCAAGCAGTCCCCATCCCCGAACCCACAGAGCAAAGGCTGAAAAAACAAAAACCAAAGAAAACGCGACGGACCAGCACACCAGCTGCGGGGCAAACTGCGCGGATCTCCAAACTGGTCGAGAAGGGGCTGTGGTTGGGCACGGAACGCCGCAAGTCCGCTGTCTCAATGGGTTTCCCGGAAGCATTGCGAAGGGCTCTTCTTCCAAAAGCGGCTGCGAACTTCACCTGCTCGTGGTCTCGTGTGTTCAATAAAAAATAGTGCGCGAAGAACATTCTCGCAGCTCTGGCTGCAAAATCGAAACTTTTCAGTACAAAAGTACTGCACAGTCGCATCTTTTACATGAAAAAAAGGTACGCGAAGCGCTCTCCCGCATTTCCGGCTCGAATATTGCACAAAAGTAGTGCGCGAATCTCCGACTGCAAAAACGCATTTTCTAAGTAGTGCAAAAGCAGTACGCGAAGGGCACTAGCGCGTGACTAGGTCAAAGGCTGCCTTCGCTCCGGGCGTGTCAGATACAAATCGTCAAGGAATGCGAGCAGCAGCTCGCCTTCTTGGAGCTGAGCCGCGGCTGCCGAGAGTGCAGCATGCTGCGCGAGGGCGAGCCAAGCCGGTGCGAGCCTGAGACTCCACAGCGTCGGTCGGCACACGGGTGCCGGGGCGAGAGTTGTGGCGCGCGGCCTCGAGGAGTTCACGCCAGTTGCCGTGCTGAAAGTCGCGCACTCGGCGCAGCAATGCGTCCTTGCCCACGGGTGCCGCCTGCGCTGGCCGCGCCAGTAGCGTGCGAGGCGGTTGACCTCTGGCCCATGGTTGCGGTGCGACCGATCCACCTCAGCCAGCGACGCCCCCAAGGCTTGGCGGACCCCGGCGGGAACGTCTTGCAGGGTGTGCTCAAACTCATCAACGAGGCTGACAGCATCCAACGATCGTCAAGAACTTGCCGGCCAGCGCCGAGTCGCGGCGCCTTGCCGAATCGCGTGGCGAGGGCGGCCCTGCGACATCCCCGCCAGGCGGCGCCGCAGGAGGCTTGTGAGGGATGAAAGCACTCGCGCGCGCCGGCAGAGCAGCCGCCGAGCTACGCCTCCAGCATTCTCCCGGCCTTAGTGCAAGGGACGTAGGGGGGGCGGGGGGGCATTTCATTCTTCAATGGAGGGGGGCATTTGATTTTTTCAAAGCCCCGTGACCTGCAACGCAGACAGTTGAGTCACCCGGCACACTGCCTCCTTCGCTGGGCATTGTGATCCGCACCCTGGCTGGACCTTGTCGCCCAGCACACACAACTGAGTGACCCGGAGCACCGGGTACGCCGGGCCTTGCGAAATGGCGCGCTGGACCTTGAGAACCGGCAGCGGCGGCGGCGCCGGGCCCTACGCCGGGCCTTGTGAAATAGCGCGCTGGGCCATACTGGGATAGGGTCGTACTTACGCTGGAGATATAAGTGACTTAGCACTTAGCTTGGACTTATAAGTAACTTATCTTGAACTTAGAAAAGAGGTTTTTCTAAGTCCGCTAAGTTCATTCTAAGTTCATTGAGTTTGCAAACACATGCGTTTTGAAGCATGGCAGTGATGAAGCATTACGCGCTGGAAATCACACATTTTCGTGTGACTCAACGCAGCAGGGCAGGCGCGCGCGCGCATGCAGTTTACGCTGTTTGTTCGCGCTGCTTCGCACGCTTGGCTCGATGGAGCCGGAGCATTTTTTGCACTGATTGACTCGGTTTAATTTTGTTGTCCAATAATCGTTTCTATAGCGGTGTCTCCGCTGGCGGCCGGTCCGCCTTCATATAGTCGCATGGGGTGGTTTCTCCGCCGGCGGCCGGTCCGCCCATTTTGCTTTTCTCGTTTGATGATATATCATTGTAGCGGTGGTTCCGCTGGCGGCCGGTCCGCCAAGCTTTTTTTGCCACGTTCATTTTCATTTCGAGATGGCACTTGAAGCGGTTGTCCGCTGGCGGCTGGTCCGCCCAGGAATTGTTCGGCGTGATTTTTATTTCGAGATGGCACTTGAAGCGGTGGTCTGATGGCACCTTGCGATTTTTTGCATGTTTGGATTGTGAGTGCGCGGATGAAAGGCTGCAAGACTCAATCAAGGCTCCAGAATCCAGACTGCTGACTGCAAACTCCACACTCCAGACTGCAGACTCCAGACTGCAGACTCCAAACTGCAGACTCCAGACTGCAAACTCCAGACTCCAGACTGCAGACTCCAGACTGCAGACTCCAGGCTGCAGACTCCAGGCTGCAGACTCCAGACTGCAGACTCCAAACTGCAGACTCCGGACTGCGAACTCCAAACTCCAGACTGCAGACTCCAGACTGCAGACTTCAGACTGCAAACTCCAGACTCCAGACTGCAGACTCCAGACTGCAAACTCCAGGCTCCAGGGTGCAAACTCCAGACTCCAAACTGCAGACTCCAGACAGCAGACTCCAGACTGCAGACTGCAGACTGCAGACTCCAGACTGCAAACTCCAGACTCCCGATGCAGACTCCAGACTCCAGACTGCCAACTCCAGAATCAAGACTGCAGACTCCAGGCTCCAGAATGCAAACTCCACAGACAGACTGCAGACTCCAGACTCCAGACTCCAGACTGCAGACTCCAGACTCCAGACTGCAGACTCCAGGCTGCAGACTCCAGACTGCAGACTCCAGACTGCAGACTCCAGACTGCAGACTCCAGAATCCAGACTCCTGACTCCAGAATTCACAGTCCAGACCCCAGAATCCAGCATCCAGACAGCCCCGCCCCAAAGCCCGGAAAGGCCGGTGCAGTTTTTTCGAACTTAACAAAACTTAACTTAACTTAGCCTGGGCGGGTCGTGTGGAGCCGTGGAGGCCCTATTGTAACTCAATCAACTTAACTGCCAAACTTTCCCCGTGAGGCCCAGTTGCGTCACCACGACTTAACATAACTTAACTTGGCCCCGTGGCCGAATTCCACCACAAAATGACCAGGATCCTGGAGCCAGGAGTCATTGTGTCTGGAATCTGGAATCTTGAGTCTGCAGTCTGGATTCTGGAGTTGGCAGTCTGGACTCTGCAGTCTGGAGTCTGCAGTCTGGAGTTTGCAGTCTGGAGTCTGGAGTTTGCAGTCTGGAGTCTGCAGTTTGGAGTCTGCAGTCTGGAGTCTGCAGTCTGGAGTGTGGAGTTTGCAGTCAGCAGTCTGGATTCTGGAGCCTTGATTGAGTCTTGCAGCCTTTCACCCGCGCACTCACAATCCAAACATGCAAAAAATCGCAAGGTGCCATCAGACCACCGCTTCAAGTGCCATCTCGAAATAAAAATCACGCCGAACAATTCCTGGGCGGACCAGCCGCCAGCGGACAACCGCTTCAAGTGCCATCTCGAAATGAAAATGAACGTGGCAAAAAAAGCTTGGCGGACCGGCCGCCAGCGGAACCACCGCTACAATGATATATCATCAAACGAGAAAAGCAAAATGGGCGGACCGGCCGCCGGCGGAGAAACCACCCCATGCGACTATATGAAGGCGGACCGGCCGCCAGCGGAGACACCGCTATAGAAACGATTATTGGACAACAAAATTAAACCGAGTCAATCAGTGCAAAAAATGCTCCGGCTCCATCGAGCCAAGCGTGCGAAGCAGCGCGAACAAACAGCGTAGACTGCAAGCGCGATGGCTCACTGCGCGGTCCTGCCGCGATGGCTCACTGCGCGGTCCTGCCGCGATGGTCGTTGCGCGGTCCTGCCGCGATGGTCGCTGTGCGGTCCTGCCGTGATGGTCGCTGCGCGGTCCTGCCGCGATGGTCGCTGCGCGGTCCTGCCGCGATGGCTCGCTGCGCGGTCCTGCCGCGATGGCTCACTGCGCGGTCCTGCCGCGATGGTCGCTGCGCGGTCCTGCCGCGATGTGTTTTCCAAACATGGAAGCGGCCCCGCCGCCGCTACGCCGTGTTCCGCCCTGCGCGGTCTAGCCGGGAGCGACCGTACGTCTCGAAAAATGATGCGCGCGCGCGTAGTCCGGTGTCAGGCTTTCTCTCTCGTTCAGCGATGTGGTCCGCAACATGTCAGGGGTAGCGCACGCGTGCTTTTTCGCACGCAGGCAGACACGTAGACTCAGCGAGGTAGACGCGTTTGGGACATTGCTTCGCAAGCGCTGAATGACCGAAGGCTGTTTTCCTCAAATGGTGCATTAAACGTGGCGTCAAACAAGGCGACGTCATCAGCCCCATGCTCTTCAACGCAGG